TCTTCAGTCGAAAAGAAATTAAGGTTTTTGATGAAAACATTCCAGGATTTTTCTCCATATAATGGGCTTCAATGGGAACCAAAAGACAGTTTCAGTGCAAACTGTTCAAAGGGCTTTAAACGATTTCAGACGATAAATAAGGGTCTTGTCAAGCGAAACGATCGCTCATTTAATAAATAAATAACAACGTTTAAGTTTTATAAGCTCAAATGCTCGCCTTGCTCTGTTCTGTGATGCGCGTTCGTGACTCTCCTGTTCGAACTCGTTCATCAAAATGAACGAATCTTTTTTCCAGTCAATTCATTAGTTTCGTTCATTGAATGAACCAAATGACTCGGAATAAGATTCGTTCATTTTGATGAACGAGTTCGAACAGGAGAGTCACACAGAACAGAGCAAGACGAGTATTTGAGCTTATAAAACTTAAACTTTGTTATTTATTTATTAAATGAGCGATCGTTTCGCTTGACAAGACCCTTATTCATCGTCTGAAATCGTTTAAAGCCCTTTGAAAAGTTTCCACTGAAACTGTCTTTTGGACCTTGAACCGTTTGGACCCCATTGAAGTCCATTATATGGAGAAAATCCTGGAATGTTTTCATCAAAAACCTTAATTTGCAAGGGGGTGAGTAAATTATCAGCAAAAGTTTATTCAAAAGTGAACCACTCCTTTAAAAAAACTCATATCAGGCACTATAATATGTCAGGCTTGAGAAAAATGTCACCAAAAAAAAGAAAAAACTTTGTACAACAAACAACAAATAAGATCTGACCAGACCAAACCTGACCTTTTTTATTAATAATAAGGTCATTATTGAGTAAATGGTGCCGTCTCAGCCGGGACAAACAAACACACACTCAGTTCAGCGTTTGGATTGCGTCTGATGAAGACATAAAAATACAGTTTCATCACAGCAAATAAGACGTACATGAAATTCCTGCACAATAATTAGAGAAAAATCACTTTGAAAACAGACCTGACAATGCTTTTTTAATTCGAGGGAATTACCAATCGACACTAACAGAGCAAACTCTTCCGCTCTGACCATCCATGAAGAGCACATACCCAGATCGACAGATGATGATGATGATGATGAAGGCCTGTAAAGCCGGGAACCCATCGAGGAGTACAAACCTCCTTCATCCTACAGATGAGCTCAACACTAACTATCTGGATACATCATCCACACAGAGGAGTGTGTGCAGAGCTTATTTTACTTCAATTCAAGCCCTTTATTCTGTCTCTCTCTCTGTGAACCGTGTGTGTGTGGAACGAACAAAGAAGGTAATACTGGTGGTTCTGAGAGAGACCCAGTACATTCATGCGCTCTCACACACACACACACACACACACAACACAAAACGCATCCCACCCAAATACACCCGGCTGCACATACAGCATTAAAAACTGTTATTTCAACATTAAACCAGCTAAACGTGAAAACAGACCACACACACACACACAGAGAGAGAGAGAGAGAGAGAGAGAGAGAGAGCGAGCATGAAAGCCATGCCAGCAGTTTCATCTGCTATTGTGTGGAATTGTGTGTTTGAGAGAGAGAGAGAGAGAGAGAGAGAGAGAGAGAGAGAGAGAACAAACGAGCTGTCTAATTCTGTCAGACAACGCTCTCAATTTACAGACTGATGTAAACCTTCATCCACTCAACGTCACATAAATCTCGACTCGACTCGGACCGGAGGAACTGATGTCGAAACTCGCACAGGGGTGAGTGAGCGACTGTCTGTCAATCTTCAGGATGACCTTATGACATCTAAACAGAGAATACCTCAAACCCTGTGTGCGTTCAGTATATATGTGTACATCTCGGCTGCCTTGAGTAAACTTTACATGCTCATCCATGTAGAAATGTCATTAAAACTTTAGTTTTGAAAATATTTAGGCCAGAATTGTTAACCACTGTTAGATAGTTGGGTCAGTATGCATGGCAAAAATATCACAAAACAATAAAGTTAATCATTTATATTTGTGTCCAAAACTAATTTTAAGTAATCAAGCATAACATTGAGTCAAAATTAGATACATAAGTTCTGTCCAAATGACTGAATTTACACTACCATTCAAAAAGATGTTTTAATGTTTTTGAAAGAATCTCTTTTGCTCACCAAGGCTGCTTTTATTTGAAGAAAAAAACAGTAATATTGTGAAATATTATTAGTTTTTAGTATTATTTATTTAAAATAAGTGGTTTCTATGTGAATATATAGTAAAATGTCATTTAAAATAAGTGGTTTCTATGTGAATATATAGTAAAATGTCATTTAAAATAAGTGGTTTCTATGCGAATATATAGTAAAATGTCACTTAAAATAAGTGGTTTCTATGTGAATATATAGTAAAATGTCATTTAAGTGGTTTCTATGCGAATATATAGTAAAATGTCATTTAAAATAAGGGGTTTCTATGCGAATATATAGTAAAATGTCATTTAAAATAAGTGGTTTCTATGTGAATATATAGTAAAATGTCATTTAAGTGGTTTCTATGCGAATATATAGTAAAATGTCATTTAAAATAAGGGGTTTCTATGCGAATATATAGTAAAATGTCATTTAAAATAAGTGGTTTCTATGCGAATATATAGTAAAATGTCATTTAAAATAAGGGGTTTCTATGCGAATATATAGTAAAATGTCATTTAAAATAAGGGGTTTCTATGCGAATATATAGTAAAATGTCATTTAAAATAAGGGGTTTCTATGTGAATATATAGTAAAATGTCATTTAAAATAAGTGGTTTCTATGCGAATATATAGTAAAATGTCATTTAAAATAAGGGGTTTCTATGCGAATATATAGTAAAATGTCATTTAAAATAAGTGGTTTCTATGTGAATATATAGTAAAATGTCATTTAAAATAAGGGGTTTCTATGCGAATATATAGTAAAATGTCATTTAAAATAAGGGGTTTCTATGCGAATATATAGTAAAATGTCATTTAAAATAAGTGGTTTCTATGTGAATATATAGTAAAATGTCATTTAAGTGGTTTCTATGCGAATATATAGTAAAATGTCATTTAAAATAAGGGGTTTCTATGCGAATATATAGTAAAATGTCATTTAAAATAAGTGGTTTCTATGCGAATATATAGTAAAATGTCATTTAAAATAAGTGGTTTCTATGCGAATATATAGTAAAATGTCATTTAAAATAAGTGGTTTCTATGTGAATACATAGTAAAATGTCATTTAAAATAAGTGGTTTCTATGCGAATATATAGTAAAATGTCATTTAAAATAAGTGGTTTCTATGTGAATATATAGTAAAATGTCATTTAAAATAAGTGGTTTCTATGCGAATATATAGTAAAATGTCATTTAAAATAAGTGGTTTTTATGCGAATATATAGTAAAATGTCATTTAAAATAAGTGGTTTCTATGTGAATATATAGTAAAATGTCATTTAAAATAAGTGGTTTCTATGTGAATACATAGTAAAATGTAATTTATTCCTGTGATGAAAGCTGTGTTTTCAGCATCATTACTCCAGTCCTCAGTCTCACACGACCCTTCAGAAATCACTCTAATATTGAGGATTTGCTGCTCAAGAAACATTTATGATTATTGAAATAAATGTCTTAACTGTAATTATTTGATCAATTTAATGCATACTTGCTGTATAAGAATTTTTTACGTTTTAAGTACGTAGTTAGAAAACCGTCGTGGCAAGTTTATCAAGTCAAGACAAAACTATCATGTTTGAGCAGGACTGTAAATGAATAATTGAATCCTGTTGCAGTTTAACAGTACGCCACACTACGTCACATTAAAAAATGAGAAGAAACCCCATATTTTAGACGTTAAACGTGATTAAACGGATTCTGTAACACTCAAAATGACTTCCAGAATAAAGAGATCAATAATTTCAGATCAATAAATCAATTTTGTATGCCTCCGTGTCCACTGTCGAGCATCAAAGTCAAACCATTTACAAACTGTTCTTACAATTCGCATATAAAGTCGTCTTTAGAACATTTCCTGACTTTAGGTTTCTATATATAATCACTAAAGCTTAAAGTAAACAATCCAGGGACTCTAAAACATCTGATGTTGTTACAATTTACAATGAACAAAAACACAGCGTAGCTGTTTATAAACACAACAAACTCATTTTATATGGCAAAAACTGATAAACAAACACATGTTACAATATTATCATGTAAAATTATAAGTTAATTCGAGCGCACTTACCTCAAAACACAACAGCGATTCATTAGAAACTTCCTGCACTCTAACGCCCACGTGAGCACGTCAATCAAATGGCATCCAATCACAGGCTAGGACTCGTCTCAGGACACGCCCTCTGTTGACGTGTGAGTTTGTTCCGCTCCTCAAGTGTCAGTGAAGAACCGCTAGAGGGAGCGTGTGTTTATTTTTATTTATTATTTAATTTTATAGCGTTTATATGATGTATACGATTTACAATAATAATAATTCTCAAAATAATTATTCACAAAACAAGGAGTTTTTTGTTGACATTTTCGAAAGAGTATCTCTCTCATTCTTAAAGGGATAGTTCACCCAAAAATGAAATGCTGTCATCCTTTACTCAAGGTGTTACAAAGATGTATGTGTTTTTTTGTTCTGTTGAACACAAAAAATATATAGTTTTGGAGAATGTTGGAAATCAAACTCAAAAATGTCTGATCTCCATTGACTTTATAGCTACTTTGAGTTTGATTACCAACATTCTTCAAAATATATCTTTTTCTTTGTATGTTCAACACAAGAAAGAACTTCTACGGGTTTACAACAACTTGAGGGTTAGTAAATAACAGCAGAATTGTCATTTTTGGGTGAACTATCCCTTTAATAAATGCTATCTTCTTAAAAACATAAAACTCTTTGTCACACATGGGCCATGGCATTTGTCGAAATGTATATTGTTCAGAGATCTGAAATAACATATGCTAGTAATTACATTTGTTAATCACAAATGTCCTTACAGCGATTTTGTCAGGTGTATATTAATACGGTGTATCCAAGCATTAAATAAGAGCTATAACTGCTCAATCACCATCATATTTTCAGTGTTTAGACACTCACTCTGTAAATGGTAATCAATTCCAGCTTTAATGATGGATATAAAATACCTATTCCAAGAGCAGTAAGATAATAACTTCCATAATAATAACTCTCTCTCATGTTCATGGCTCATGTCACACTAACGGCCCTGGAAAACAATAACCAAACTACTGTCATGCATAAAAGTTAAGAGTTATTTAATATAAACAGAGTTATCCAGCCAGTAGATTTGGCCAGATCACTGTCCATCCAAGGCATGTTACACCAGGGGTTTTGAGGAATGTACACAAACGCACTCATCCCTCATTCTCTCTAAATAAGGCAGCTTATCTCTTTTCCTGTCATTTCATGTTGATTCCTCCGGGTCTCTCGTTCTCTGTGTGCCTTCAACACAAAGACAGGCTGAGCATTCTTTGCCCTTATATGGTAAATCCCTGCTGTGGGCCGGCTCTGTCTGGGAGATCGGAGAGCTCTGATTGGCCGAGAGTAAAGTGGGAGGGTCGCATTACTCGAGCTGATGCTCTGAAGAAACTTCTGTGTCCCGTAAGTGTAACTGTCTCACTCTCCAACACAAAGACAACAGACCCAAGACCACAATCCATCAGCTAGCAAAGGTGAGTGAATTGTGCTTTGGTTTGGTTTTGTGTGCTTAGAAGTCTTAGGCTTTCCACAAAAGTTGTGGATGACTTTAGGCAGGCACTGAGGAAAGATCTAGATGGAGCTGGTGACGTATGTTGGGAGTTATGGAGCTAAAACTGATCCAAGATCATCTCTTACAGCGCTGAGCTAAGGATCTGGACATTTGAATGCTTTCTTTAGTGTCCACTGAGTGAATATTGTGCTTTCTAATGCATTTCTGTTATAGATCCAGAAGTTTTGTCCTCCTCAGTGATGTTCATAACTCAGATAAAATTCAGGGAATAATGTTTCTTTGCATTTAGGAGTGACTTGGCTTCATCTGGAATACTTCAATTGGCTTTTTTGTTTCGCTGTGAGGTCAAAAGTCAGAGGTCAGACCCATGACATAACCATTGGCTGGAGGACAGGACCTGAAATGATTGCAGAAGAAAATAATTAACAGAAATCAGCAACTACGCGTTTGTTTCAGATCTTTATTATTGTGCAGTTGTTAATCTGCACAAGTTTTCATGAAGCAATATCACTGGACGGCCTGTTAGTGTCTCTCTGCCAATCCAGTTTCAAAAGCAACAAACAAAAGAAGGGAGGATGTGACCCGATCACAACAGCTAAAGTGAAGGATTGAGAGTTAGAGTACATTAGGACATCAACTTGAAGTTCATCATTTATGATGATTTGTGTCATTAAAACAGGTTTTAGAGAAAAAAACAACAACAAACATGACAGAATTCATGCAATCCATCGATAATATACTTACTGATGATGTTTGTGCTGCTGATTTCCCAACATGATGATGTCACTTCCTGAGTCCTTAAAGTGTTTTTCTCCCTCGAAAAGTAACAGGATGGAAAGTGACATTTAATTTGAGGACACAGAAAGAAAGAAAAAACTGATTGACATTTAAACCCGAGTTTAACCCAATTTATCTAATTTAAAACCCACCGATATTGTCTTATTTTATTCAGCATATTAAGACCAAATGAGGGCATGAAAATGTCTCACAGGGATGAGCGTTTGATGGACTTCAGGCAGTGGCTTCGGTCTGTTACTAAATTCCTGCATTTAATCCTGTGGTCAAGCTGGACATTGTGTTCTGATGATGCTGTCATACACAAACACACACTCGTGTTGGGTTTACATGTTTTATGGGGACTTTCCATAGACATAATGATTTTTATACTGCATGTACAAACTGTATATTATATCCCTTTACAATAGCATACCCCTAAACCTACCCATCACACACAACTTTCTGCATTTTACATTTTCAATAAACATCAGTTAGTATGATTTATAAGCTGTTTCCTCATGAGTACCAAAAATGTCTCCACAAGGACAAGAATTCCGGATATTGAGTACATTTATAGGACATATTGTCCTCATTAATTACAGTTTAACCGGGCCACACACACACAGCTTAAAATAAACAGGTAGTTACATCAATTCTAGTCCTATCCCATCATACACACAAAACTAGCCAGGGATAATGCAGTCAGAAAGTTTAAAATAGAGAAGTGTTGCTCGACTGTCCGTGTGTTGAGTGTTGGGTCGTCAAAGAAACAACAACAACACAACTCAAATTCTGAATGTTTTACTGATGCGGGACTTTTATTCTGAAATGCGTGCGTTAAAGCGGCTGAATTTCTGTCACACGCATTTCAAGTAACTTATAAGAGTGGCTACGAAAGACTGATTCCGTATCTGCTGTCGGGCTATATACAATGTCATTAATCAAACGCTATATTTCTAACTTGTTACGAAATAAAAAGTTTCTCACCTCAGAAACACGAGCTGTCCTCTCCTGTCAGGAGTTGCTGCGTTCGAGGCGCGCACGCGCAAATCGCAACGTCGTAACGTTAGTTGTTGTCACTAATAAAGCATGAAATGACCAAAAAAAAAAATACCAACAAATTAGCCTACGTAACTACTGGTTTATTCATCAGTGTTGGTGATATTCTCAAAATTTGAGCCATGTGTGGGGTATAAATAAATAGGCTATTGGGTCAAATTCCTAAAAATGTGGGTTTTTGCTTAATGTGAAAATGTGGGTCCCATGGCCAAGTTGAGAACCTCTGAAATAGAGAATAGTGTAATATTACACCAAAAATAAGCAATTATTGGGTAGGCCTTTTGCCATATTCATAATAAGATGATTTCCCAGCTAACAGTGAAGCAATTATGAGCAAACATTCTTCCAGTAATGTTAATTTAATGTTTATTTAAAGTTATCTGGTCTTTATTAATGTTTATCAAAATGTTAGAACAAAAACATTATTTATGGAACTTTTTTTATGAAACATTTTATGTGGAGGTTTGTCTTATTTGTTTGTAAACTGTCACTACCAGTTTAAGAGAACATTCAAAAGTAACTCCTGATGTTTGCAGAATTCTAAAACGGAATGTTCCCTTAAAGTTCACATAAGTAAGACATTTTGATTCAGAAATAACATTTTCATAACTTACTGGAAATGTTAGCAAAACATTCTTGATGTTAGCTGGGTTTTATTCCTTCGTTATGAAGATGGCAGGATTAACAAGGATGTTTGCATATGGACCAGGCCTGAATGCATAGATCATCCCACAGCATTTGGTTACTTTATTGAGAAGACTTTGAGAAACTATGAATGCAAGAGGAATAAAAACACAGATATGAAAATGAGTGTTAGCTGATCTGTATAACATAAATTACACATTCACAATGAATGATGTCATGGTTATGAAATGTGCTGCTGTTCACACAGGACTCAGCAGAAACCATCTGTAACATCTCTGATGCTAATGGCTGTGAAGGCCTTCAGTAAATCTGCTGTATATATAGAGAAAAATGTTTCCTTAGATCAAAGCTGACTGATATTCTTAATCACAGACACTTTGCGTGAATCATAAAGGGCGAAAGCTAACTAAATCAGTCTTAAATGGCACATCTTAAAGTGACTCCTGTCCTGGTCTGTCTATAAATACTACTCGTATTCAAAACCTCATTACACTCCTGCTTGTGTGTGTTTCTGGGAGATAAAATATGTTCTAAGAATGATTTGCTAACATTCCCATTAAGCTATGATAATGTTATTTCTGAATGTTTTAAAAGAAATTTCTTAGTTATGCGAACGTTAAGGTAACATTACATTTTGCAAACATTAAGAGAATGTTTTGAATGTTCTCTGAAATGTGAAAATATCTGGAGCTTGTGTTCACCACAGACCTTAAGTTCAGGCATTTTAACCAAAAACCCACTGATTTCAGGACAATGGAACTGGAAGTGCTAAAATGCATCTCATTTCAAGTTTTTTTTGTTTTTTGTTTTGCCAACAAAAATACATAATCTTTGCAGCACTCAATCACTCTTAATCCTTATTTTTGAAGTTAAAATCACCATATGACCAAACACTGTCCATTGCTATTCGGAAGTTTCAAAGAAACAATTATTCATTTAAAACGGCTCGCAGAAATGAGTCAATCTTTGAGTCGTTCATTAGAACGATTCACTCACCCTGTTTACACCTGGTATTAATATGCGTTTAGTCGATCGGATCACTCGCGGACGGCGCTAAATACAAGTGTAAATGGGGTCTAAAATCCGCCATGTGGTGAAAATCCAGCTTTTAAGTAGTATATATATCTATGTGGTGTTTTAATATGCTTTAAAACAAACCATGAGTAAATTCATAAGTCAACACCATTGCTGCAAAACCGCAGTGAACCAAAGACTGCTATGTAACCAATCAGATCAACGTGTGATCGGATCTCTGAGCTGAGTGAGTGAGGAGGCGGGGCTCATTTGCATATTCATAGAACCGCGCATACTAAATGAGGCAAAGGGTGTCGAGTTACATTCGAGATATTTAAAGGCATGAAGAAGGAAAAAAACGTTAAAATATGTTATTTTGGTGATCAAAGATTAGTTTTAATGCATAAAATTATTGACTACAGGTCTTTTAGCAGTGTCCCAGTTTCAGATCCATGTTATAATACTGATAAGATAAGCATTTGAAAAATATGAATTTTTGTTTTGACCATAACATTATGCTTTCTTCGTAAGCACCATTCGTAGACCAATTCTACTGTAGACTTCTGTTGTTGATGCCATTGATTTTAGTCAATATTGATGGTTAATCCATACGATTCGGCTGCACTGGCGATATCAGAAAGCCTCTGGGTCAATGTCTGCGAATACGGCACTATCATTATCTTTTTCGAGGGCAAGCTGAGGCTCCTTCTGTTAAAGTGAAATGGGTGAAACAAGGCAAAGGCCCCAGTAATGGTCGCTTGCAGACATATTAAAGAACATCTTCTGCTCTTTCCTTAGACCTGAAACACCGTCAACATGTCCAGCAAGCGAGCGAAGGGGAAAACCACTAAGAAGAGGCCGCAGAGAGCCACTTCAAATGTGTTTGCCATGTTTGACCAGTCACAGATCCAAGAGTTCAAGGAGGCCTTCAACATGATCGACCAGAACCGAGACGGATTCATCGATAAAGAGGATCTGCATGACATGCTGGCCTCTTTGGGTAAGTCTGAGCAAGAGGAAGGGACATAATATCATGAATATCATTATCTAATGACATGGCCTTTGGTGTGTGTGTGTGTGTGTGTGCTCAGGTAAGAACCCGTCTGATGATTACCTGGAGGGAATGATGAGTGAAGCACCCGGTCCCATCAACTTCACCATGTTCCTCACCATGTTTGGAGAACGGCTCAATGGAACCGACCCGGAGGACGTGATAAGGAACGCTTTCGCCTGCTTTGATGAGGAAGGATCTGGTAAAACAAACACTGGTTTAATAGAAAGAGTGTCTCAAAGTATGGAGGCCCAAAAAAATCATAAATAAATAGGGCTATTTATGAAAAAAATCATAAATAAATAGGGCTGGGCATTGACGAATTACGTTTCAAATTCAATTCACAAGCAATTCGATTAAAGTAGTAGTTCACTTTTCAAAAACTTTTGCTGATAGTTTACTCACCCCCATGTCATCCAAGATGTCCACGTCTTTCTTTCTTCAGTCGAAAAGAAATTAAGGTTTTTGATGAAAACAGTCCAGGATTTTCTGTATATAATGGACTTCAATGGGGTCCAAATGAGAGTGACTGTTCAAAGGGCTTTAAGCGATTCCAGACGATGAATAAGGGTCTTATCAAGCGAAACGAGCGGTCATTTCAAAAATAAATAACAAAAATTAAGTTTTATAAGCTCAAACGCTCGCCTTGCTCTGTTCTGTGATGTGCGTTCGTGACTCGCATCAAAATGAACGAATCTTTTTTCGAGTCATTTGGTTCATTTAACGAACGAAATGACTCGAAAAAAGATTCGTTCATTTTAATGAACGGGTTCGAACAGGAGAGTCACGAACGCATAAGACATGGACATCTTGGATGACATGGGGGTGAGTAAATTATCAGCAAAAGTGAACTACTCCTTTAAGTTCTGTTGTGTTCATAAGTTGAATTGAACATTGTTGACTACTATTTTGAAGTGTTGTGTAATGTGTGAAGAACGAAAGGGAATGCGTAAAAGAGATGAGTGAAGTTCGCAACTCCTGTCTCGTGTGTTTCTTTGATACACTAAAAGATTGATTCTTGGGATTTAAGAATCAGAATCGATTAAAATAGAGAACTCAATATTTTTAACTCAGCCCAAACAAACAAAAACAAATAAATAAATGTAATAATATAAAAATAAAGGAACAGTTGACTTTATAAACAAATACAATTAATTTTATAATCAAATGTAGTCCTAAATGTATTGTTGCATTTCTTTTTACTAATTAATAATAAATATTGTATTAATTTATTAATTAATACACTGTAAGCCTATATCCTCCCCTACAATTACATGCATCTGTGCATTACTTAATACACTGAATACATTAACAAAGATGCATAAATACTTTAACAAATGTCTTGTTCATTGTTAATTCATGTTAACTAACGTTAACAAATGAGTGTCACTGAAGTGTTTGTGTTCACCAAGCCTGCTTTTTTCTATTTAAAATAGGCCTACATCAAGACAGTGAAATATTATTAAAATTTAAAAGAACTTTTTGTTTTTGAATGTACTTTAAAATGCGATTTATTCTCGTGATCAAAGTTGAATTTTCAACATTGTTTCTCTAGTCTTCAGTGTCACATGATCCTGTAGTAAATTTATAGTATGTCATTAAATGACAAACTATACTTTTAAAAATGCAACTTTTTTCAGAATAAGATATGGAAATAAGTTCTCCAATGCAGATACAAACACAACAAATACCAGAAAAATAATTTAAAAGTACCTCAATGTTCAAATGTAGTTCCCATCTTGTATAAAACCCAAACAAAGGTCTGACTGCATGTTTGATTGTTGTCTGCGCAGGTTTCATTCACGAAGATCACCTGCGAGAGCTGCTGACCACCATGGGAGATCGTTTCACAGATGAAGATGTGGACGAGCTTTTCAGAGAGGCTCCCATCGACAAAAAGGGAAACTTTAACTATGGCGAGTTCACCCGGATTCTCAAACACGGGGCCAAGGACAAAGACGACATGTAGCCGATCAGAGCACATTACACACACACACACACACACACACACACACACACACACACGATGAACATCCACTAGGGAAAACAGCATTTCATGTGGTGATCTAAAAAAACAAGTAATAATATCTCTAAATGCAAGATTAGATTACATTGCAAACCATCTACAATGTTTATTTTGCGTTTTTAAGTGGGACTCATGTGTTTGAAGCAGCTGTGGCTCAAACTATTGCATTGGGGATGCCATAAACCTGTTTAGATGTAGTGCAAAGTTATTTTTCTGTGTGCATTTATAAGGATTCTCAGTATCTCCTCGTTGAATGCTATTAACCGGTATCAGAGACATAAGGCAAGACACTAACGTTACTGGGTGCGTCTCAATCAGGGAGTCGGCCATTTTAATGGCTGACTCAATCCAGTTCACTGAAACATTCAATCCCTAAAAGTCCCACAATGCAGTGAAATCCAGGATGTGTCAATGCTTAACAGACGGATTGAGACGCAGCCATTGTCTTTTTAGCCACTGGTCCATAACATATCCTTTAACATCCAAAAATACATATTTAATATATACAGTTACCATTTATTTTATTTTCTGTCTGTCGAAACTGTTTTCTTAATTATGAAGTAAAAAGAGAAACCCTAAATCTCCTCCGACTCTGTGGCAACAAAATGAAAATGTAATTTTGATCTTGGCTTTATCCGACGTTCAGATTTATGTTCTGGCAATATAGGCAAACACACTAAACTTTGGAGGTTGGATAGATGCAGATTATTTATAATTATTCAAGATAATTTTCCGAAAACTGAAGGTGATAACTGTAGCTCAAATGCCAAGATCATGGGTTCGATTCCCAGGGAAAGCAAGTCACTTTGGATAAAAGCGTCTGCCGAATGGATAAATGTAAATGCATGGTACAGAACATGTCCTCCACCCTTTCTGAAACATGAGACTATAGTTGTATAAAAACGACATTTAAAATGAGTCTATATTTTGAAAAGATGACCATATTTGGACAATAAATAGCCCTTACACGGAGGTCTCATGGACATCAACATAAGACGTCGCCTGGCGTTACAACAAAACAAACCCATCAGTGGACCGAAACTGGACGTCCAAAAATGACATAGAAAACACGTCACATTGTGCAGTGGGAATAAGCGCACATTTATATAAATCATGCATATTTAAACACAGCAAAGTGATGACGTCACTTTGTAGGACAACTCGGAAGCTTGCGGCGCATGGGTTCCCTCGATCGAAAAGCTATGCAAAATAAAAAAATAGCAAAAAATAAGATCTGTGTTCAGTTGTGACCCTTACACACAAAGATTATCAAGATAATCTTTACGAATTTATCCAAAACAGGCAATATAGTTTATAATTTAAAGTTTTTAAAAAACACAAGCAGACACAATAAAGTCACAAGCTGATTATAACTGTGTTCTATGTGATCGATCAAAACGTGAAAAATACTTAGAGGCTTTGTTCACCACAGACCTTATTTCAAGCGATTCAGCAAAAACCCATTGAAATATCCCTTAGACTTTAGAGCGAGGGAACCGAGAGTGCTAATGCTAACTCGCGTCGGCGTTTTGGCCTACAGAGTGACGTCGTAACTTCGATACTTTACTGAACTGGAGGAAGCATATCGATATATTCGTTAACATTTTTACCCTAAATTCACATAGTGTCTTGCCTTAAACACTTTGGGACGTGTTGTATTTTTCAGTGGTACTGCAACTTATATTCCCCCATCAAACCGGTGAATATCTGGCTTATAATATTACACGTGGCAGCTCTCAGATAAGAAGTCATCCGTCATATGAAAGTTACGTTTTTTATACTGAAATAAAGATGGTGTCACACCACAGAGAAATAAATCATTTGTGCATTTCTGGGTCATTTCTGAATATTTGCTATTGCATGAAAACAAAAGGAATTTAATTTCTCCACGACTACAAACATATTAAAAATGAGGCTTTTATTTCTCTGTAATATTTGTACAAAAGGACATCAAATAAAATCTCTGTGTCAAATGTTTAAGGCAGATATTGCACAGACTAGTCCAAAGGTTTTCTAAGGAAGCAGGTAAGGCACAAATGCCATCTTAAAAATAAAAAATAAAATAAATGTATTTGGTCGTACAGGAGAGAGATGCACACATTTGATGCACATTAAAAGCAATATGCCAGCCAAAAACCTGAATGACATTTACATGTTTCACATTCTCATCTAGAAGACCAGTTTTGCGGTAACAATAATACAGGAATATTAATATTGGTCTTTCAGAACTGGTGAAAAAAATAGAGTATACACAAAAAAATTATAGACCATACTGTAACTAACCGAATGACCGCAGGTTTGAGGTGTTAGTCAACTAGATCTGTAATATGACAGTCAGTTTCTCATATAAAATACAGATGCACAACTCAGAAATAATTAAAAACTCCCCTTGTGTTGTCAGAGAGAGGTAACATTAAAATGACTCGAACCCACGAGAAAAAAAGTCTACAATAAACAAACCTGAGACAATGAAAACCAATGAGAAGTAACTACATGTCCTCTGACCTTTGCATTGACCTCACTGAGAAAAACTAATCAGAATTATGGCACGTTCGTGAGCAAGAGTAAACTGAAATAATGTGAACCGCATCATAAAACTAAAAGGTTAAAAATCATCATCACTATAAAGACTAATTTGACTATCTGTACATGTTCTCAGTTTCATGGAAACTACAAGCATAAAAATCATAATCCGTCTAAATACTTTAGTGTCCAAAAAGAGAGAAAGAAAAAAAGAGAAAAAAAATAATAATAAAATCACTCACGAAGACACTGGAAATCATATTTGTTAGTTCTCTAGATACATTCACAGATTATGAGCAAGAAAGGAACGCTTAAAGGAGTAGTTCACTTAAAAAAAAAACATTTGCTGATAATTTACTCACCCCTATGTCATCCGAGATGTCCATGTCTTTCTTTCTTCAGTCCAAAAGAAATTAAGGTTTTTGAGGAAAACATTCCAGGATTTTTCTCTATATAATGGACTTCAGTGGGGAAGTGACTCTCCAAACGAGAGTTTCAGTGCAAACTGTTCAAAGGGCTTTAAATGATTCCAGACGATGAATAAGGGTCTTATCAAGCGAAACGATCGCTCATTTAATAAATAAATAACAAAATTCTCGCCTTGCTCTGTTCTGTGATGCGCGTTCGTGACTCTCATGTTCATCAAAATGAATGAATCTTTTTCTGAGTCATTTGGTTCATTCAACGAACGAAACAAACAAATTGACTCGGGAAAAGAGTTCGAACAGGAGAGTCACAAGCGCATCACAGAACAGAGCAAGGCGATCATTTGAGCTTATAAAACGTCAAATTTATTTATTTATTAAAAGAGCGATCGTTTCGCTTGATAAGACCCTTATTTATCGTCTGGAATCGTTTAAAGCCCTTTGAACAGTTTGCACTGAAACCGTGTTTTGGACCTTGAACCGTTTGGTCCCCATTGAAGTCCATTATATGGAGAAAAACGCTGGAATGTTTCATCAAAAACCTTAATTTCTTTTCGACTGAAGAAAGAAAGACATGGACATCTCGGATTACATGGGGGAGAGAAAATGATCAGCAAAAGTCTATTTTAAAGTGAACTACTTCTTTCAGTTCATCTCCGGGAGGTACAAACAAGCTTACAAACTCCTTTAGTGTCCAGTCTAAATTCTGTATCCCTCCCCTCTACATGGTGTTAGAGAATTCATGAACATGTAAAACACTGTTAATGCCGGTCATCTACTCGACCCATCAGAACAATAACCATCTCATCTACGGCACATGCTCGCGTTACACGAGAACTGAAGAAAATCAATGTCAGCTGTCTTTGAGACGCACACACACACGAGCGATGACCTCCGCAGAACGATCAATTTCCCCAACACACGTCACTACTCCGACTGTGACCGGATAAATGGTTCTGAAATAATGACTAAGAGGTAAAATGAGACTATAAAGTGCAGGAAATATGACAAAAACTTGACTTTCAGTTTCAGGCAAAGTGTTAAATCGAAGAGAGCACGTTCGGTTGGACCTTATTAAACGCTGCATGCTGGTCTTTGCATTCACAGATCACAAAAAGCAAGTAAAGCATGCTGATGCAAACAGGCAACTACAGTGGATCGTCTCTATGTAAAACGCTGTTGGTAAACCTGAGATGTAGCGCTCGGCTGGTGTTTCTGAAATGCTGGATTACTCTCGAAGAGGATTTTACGGATGCCCGTAGACTTCATGTAGTTGAAGGTAAGAGGTTTTGGTTTGCAGAGAGTTTTAAAAATACATCCTGGTGTTTATTCATAGAGAAGAGGCTCTTTGAGTATCTAGCAATGATCTCGAAAGTAGCAAACAAACAGAGTTGAGTTTTTGGCGGCGATCAGTTGACCGCTTCCGTGACCGTATTACGCACGTACTGAGAAACCCACGTGCTCGCGAGTGGACCGGGTTGCCGGACGCCCCACATCCCAGCAGACGTGAAGCCGGCGGGTTCTGTAACGCTCTTGCCGGCTGAGCTCAGATCCACGGGAAGGCCTTGAAACGAGCGGCTCACGACAGGAACCGATACTGGTAATGTTGCGCTCTCCATCAAGGCCGGTCCAGGATTGGATTCGTCCGTGGAAGTCAAAACGGACTCCTCACGAGCTTCGTCGGGTTGCTCTTTCGGTCTGCAGTTCTCCTGCTCGGCTGCGCGTTGCAGGGCCGCGTCCACTAGCAGCTTCAGATCGCTGAAGTCTTGCGCGCACAGCTCTGGCGGGGTCGGAGGTGGCGTGTTGAACAGGACCCCACTCGGGCTCGGCGCTCCCAGGGTAGAAGCGAACGGGATGGTCGTCACGTAATGATCTTCACTCCGGAAACCGGTTAGACCTTCTCGCCTCAGGAGACCTCGTGTGTCCAGCTGCATCAGAGCCTGAACGCCGCCGTCGTGACCGCCGGACGACGACAAGCAACCGGCTCCGGCCAAAATTGCAGTCGCGGTGTTGCCCAAAAGCCTCAAGTCCAATGTTGGGGCGGGGCAAATGACTGAGGGGCGGGTCGAAGAGGCGGGGCTTTCCGGGGAGGCGGACCTCTCGGTTTTGCCGGCGCGACGTGACATTGTAAACTGAGTGGGGTCTTTGCCGTCTTTCCTGAGCAGGTCCGGCAGGAGCCTCCGGCGGGCGTTTATGAACCAGTTACAGATCTAAAAACAAGATTAGGGATTTAGAAACTTGAATGAATGGAGGCTGGAGCCGGCTTCACTCAATAATTACACTTGAATTTGTTTTAAGAGCGCTGGCCTGATAAGTAGAATACATATAGACCATTTCACAAGATGTAAACAACACTGGTCCAGAAGCACTTCCTGTTTGAGTTTAACACTACATATAAGCTGGGATAAAATACAACCAACAGACCATTTAAAACTGAATCAAAAAGTTAAACAAACATCTTTAAGATGTTTCTTTACATGTGAAATAAAGAAAACGGTTACAAACTGAAACAGGAAGTGCTTCTGGACCAGTGTTGTTTACATCTTGTGAAATGGTCTATATGCAAGAAAGAGGCCGCACTATGCATAAACAGTTTATTTTGCACAAACGCGTTACAAGTTAGTCATCCAATTTTCTTCAAGACTGCTTCTAACTTTTTAAAGCTAATTACATAAAAACATACATTGGTCTAATTTGACAGCGAACAGAAAGAGTGATTACTCCTAATTAACTGCTAGTTGGTGAAACTAGTTCTCAAGACACAGTCTTAAAGGTGTAGTTCACTTTTCAAAAACTTTTGCTGATAATTTACTCACCCCCATGTCATCCAAGATGTCCATGTCTTTCTAATAATGGGCTTCAATGGGAACCAAACGGTTCAAGGTCCAAAAGACACTTTCAGTGCAAACTGCGAACTGTTCAAAGGGCTTTAAACGATTCCAGACGATGAATAAGGGTCTTATCAAGCGAAACGATCGCTCATTTAATAAATAAATAACAAAATTCTCGCCTTGCTCTGTTCTGTGATGCGCGTTCGTGACTCTCATGTTCATCAAAATGAATGAATCTTTTTCTGAGTCATTTGGTTCATTCAACGAACGAAACAAACAAATTGACTCGGGAAAAGAGTTCGAACAGGAGAGTCACAAGCGCATCACAGAACAGAGCAAGGCGATCATTTGAGCTTATAAAACGTCAAATTTATTTATTTATTAAAAGAGCGATCGTTTCGCTTGATAAGACCCTTATTTATCGTCTGGAATCGTTTAAAGCCCTTTGAACAGTTTGCACTGAAACCGTCTTTTGGACCTTGAACCGTTTGGTCCCCATTGAAGTCCATTATATGGAGAAAAATCCTGGAATGTTTTCATCAAAAACCTTAATTTCCTAAATTATCAGCAAATGATTTCAAAAGTGAACTACTCCTTTAATATTTCTTGGTATAGGGTCATTGGGGGCATTTCTGGATCCTAACATGGCGCCCCCTGTTGGCTCGGCAGTGAAGCGCATGCTGTGTCAGACGGACAGCTGGCTCTAATGGAGACCAGAGGAAATATGCAGCACAGGCCTCGCCGCCCGCATTCCTGCGCTCTGACAACACCGCAGCTCTCGCTCAAGGACAAAACACAGCACAGACTGTGTGAGAACGTCTCAGACTTTGATGTTTCGGCCAAATGTAAAAGTGAAGAGTGGATCAAAAGACTCACGCACACAAAAGAACAATATTGGAAAGAGGATATTCCTCATACTCAACTTGATGCTGTAGCCCTCAAACCGTATTCACTTTATAGCCCTTAATCCTGTAATTGTGGACAAATGTGGGCACAGAGGACTGTAATTTTTATTTACTATAAATGTTATATCATTGTCTTTAATAAAGTTGTGTTTTTTTTATTTATTTTGGGGGTATTTTTGAATTTATTTACTTTCAAACAGCACCATATTTTGTATGTAAATTATGCTTATTTTTATGTTTTATTTTTCAAAATTTAACTACATTAAAATATAATTCTTAGAGGTAAAACCTAAAGATGAAGTGACTTCGCGGTCACCTGGTGTCTTATTTTAGAGTGCTCTATATTACAGTTTTTCCCATTCATTTCTATGGGTGCCCATTTTTGACCCAAATACAAGATTAAGGAGTTTTTTTTTTCACCCACTTAACATTGTAGAATTGAGTCAAAAAAAAAATGTGTGTGTTCAGGAGGCAAACTTAGGAAAAGTAGCCAAGTCTTGTACCACTCAGATCAAGGGAAGTATTTTTTTTTAAAATAAATCAAAACTATTTTGCCCACATTTGTCCAGAATACGGTTTTATGGTTAACAGACTATTGACTTTGCAACTTATTCTAGCAAAAACATGCTCTCGAGCACAACTGAAATTCAGAACCAAATGAATAGGTTCGTGCACTATATTTCAGGTCTGTGAAAGCCATGTGATAGATGTGAGGAACAGACCCAAACTTAAATCTAAATTTAAGAGCATCATTTTCACTGCAAGTGCATGGAAACTGTCAGATGGCTTTGAAACAACATGGAGGTGAGGAAGACCAGTTTTCAAATTCAAGTCTAAAGTTTGATACTTTCATGGTAATTTTGCCTTTTGAGCTTGAAATTCAGTTTCATTGTAATTGCATGGAAAATACCATACTGGTTTTAAACATGAAGGCAAGTAAAGGACAATTCTTAGTTCTTAATTTTGCACGCAAACTTAAAGGGAGTTAGAAAACTTAAATTATTTTTTGATATGTTTTATCTTACCTCAAGGGCATCCAAGATGTAGGCGTCTTTGTTTCCACAGTAGTTTTAATTTTGATATTTTTAGGTCAAACCGTTCTTGTCTGTCAGTCATTTAATGGAGGTCTATGGTCACCACCTCAAAGAGCATGCACAGAGAAGTCCAAATTAAACATGATTTAATGACTCATGAATGCAAGTACACATTGATGGCCTAAGACACGAAACAAGTGGTTTGTGTGAGAAAACCAACAGTATTTATATTGTTTTACCTCTTGTAACCACAGCCACAAACCGCCCATGCCCTCAGATCACTTGGATGTGATTGTGGTTACAAGAGGTAAAAACGATATAAATACTGTTCATTTTCTCACTCAAACCGCTCGTTTCGTGTCTTAGGCCATCAATGTGTACTTACATTTACGAGTCATTAAATCATGTTTAATTTGGACTTCTCTGTGCATGCTCTTTGAGGTGGTGACCATAGACCTGCATTATATGAATGACAAACAAGAACGGTTTGACCTAAAAATATCAAAATTGAAAATACTGTGGAAACAAAGACACCTACATAAAACATACCAAAAATTAATTTCAAAGTGAACTATCCCTTTAAAAACTTCAGTTTTTGTGCTAATTGCATGGAAAGCTGGTTTAGTGCTTACCTGCGATACGGACAGATGCGTCTGTCCAGACAGGCTCAGCTTCTCCTGCTCTGACGGATACGCGTTGAAGCGATGCTCATAAAGCCAGTCTCTCAGAACCTGAACCGCCTCTTTGGGGAGGTTTCCACGCCGGCGGCGTTTGGCCGAAGAGCCGCTTCTCCTGCCATTGGTGGACAGGTTGAGAGGGTAACCGTCGTCTTCACACGGGTCACTGTCCGACATGGCTGAAAACTCTGTGTCTCCGTTCTGATCCTCATCAAAAGCTGAGAAGATGAAGGCCACAGAACATTATTAGTCTCAGGAATTGAACCGACTCAGTGCAGGCCACAATGCCCTTAAAGGAATAGTTTACTTTTGAAAAAAAAAAAAAAAAAAAACTTTTGCTGATAATTTACTCACCCCCATGTCATCCAAGATGTCCATCTCTTTCTTTCTTCAGTCGAAAAGAAATTAAGGTTTTTGAAGAAAACATTCCAGGATTTTTCTCCATATAATGGACTTCAATGGGGTCCAAACGGTCCAAGGTCCAAATGAGAGTTTCAGTGCAAACTGATCAAAGGACTTTAAACGATTCCAGATGATGAATAAGGGTCTTATCAAGGACGCTTCGAGTCATGACTCGAAAAAAGATTTGTCCACAGAACAGAGTTGACCATTTGAGCTTATAAAACTAAACTTTTTTTAAATTAGCGATCGTTTCGCTTGATAAGACCCTTATTCATCATCTGGAATCGTTTAAAGCCCTTTGAACAGTTTGCACTGAAACTCTCCATTTGGACCCCATTGAAGTCCATTATATGGAGAAAAATCCTGGAATGTTTTCATCAAAAACCTTAATTTCTTTTCGACTGAAGAAAGAAAGACGTGGACATCTTGGATGACATGGGGGTGAGTAAATTATCAGCAAGTTTTTTTGAAAAGTGAACTACTCCTTTAAATACCACATTAGTGCACACCATGCACATTTTCTAAATGCAGATGATCTTCTGAATTTGGCACAGTACAAAAGAGAATAATGCATCCATTTCACTAGACTATAACCTGGTCTTTTTTGGACTTATACAGCAAAATAAACACCTTGATTTCTGAGAGAATCAGTTCTTATCTTGCGCCTGAATCGTCCCGCTCAGTCGTTTAAAAGCGTCCTGCAGATAAAACCGTTCGACTGCACTCAGATTTACACTTCAAAAGACTATTGACTGTGAACGGCTCCTCCATTCACACCTTCACCCTCACAAACCGAGGGAAACACAGCTTATCTGCGGCTCTACAGGAGGGCTTCACACACCCACAATGAACATTATCATGAAGCATTAGCTGCTGATTATTATGATAATCATATGACCAGATAAAGCAGACAATAATACAACCATGTAAACAATATATATGTCACATGCTGATGCTAAAACATTCATATTTGAATATTTAAATTCATGACATATAAAAACCATTTCTTGAAAATGAAAAAAAGCATTTTTGGGGGGTATCATAGGTTGCAGATCAAACATGGAAGAAAAAACACCTACATTTTATGCAATTTGGTGCAAATGCTGATATTTAAATGGTGAAAAAGATTAAATTCTGATGCTTGCCATGTAACCCAATGACATCTTATAACAAAATTATAATGCTCAGAAAAATTATCTATATTATAAATCTCAGTTATACCATATTATCATCCAATAAAGATATTTAAATGCTTAAATCTCTGTATTTTTAAAACAATGCAATAAAACGTAAACCAATGAGATCTTATAACAAATACTTGCTTAACACACGTATTATAATTCTCAGTAAAAAATTCTCTATATTATAAATCTCAGTTGTACTAATATATATATATATATATATATATATATAAATTCATCCAATAATGATATTTAAATGCTTAGTTTTATGTAAAACAATGCAATGTAAACCAAATGAGATCTTATAACAAATTCTTGCATAACAAACATATTATCATGCTCAGTAAAACTCTATTATGAATCTCAGTTATACTACATATCTTCCAATAACGACATTTAAATGCTTAGTTTATGATCAAATCTCTGTATTCTTAAAACAATGCAATAAAATGATGATTCAGAGATGAATAAACTTCCTAAAAAGCCTCATGATCAATTTCAAGCATCACTTCACGGCCCTTAAAAGAGCCGATGGGCCCCAAAACTATACAGTCTGCCTCTCAACACTAGACAAGGCCAATAAACTCTGGACAAGCACCTCAAATCCTAATCTGAAGTTTCAGGTGAAATTAAATCCTCAAATAAATCTCTTTTAAATCAATTGTTGCAAAGATGTCCTTAAAACAATGGAGGACCCTCCTGCATGCTTGACAGTGATGATAATACCAAGTTTCCAGTCTTCCTGAAGCAACACTCACAGTAAATGCCTAAATAATGCTGTATTTTTGGCAAGAACTGCAGTCGGTGTGGTTATGGGAAAAGCAGCTAAACCCAGTGTTTCAGAGACACATGAATCACACACACTTCAGCAGCTCAAGAGTTTCTTTCTCCTGCTGAAACCTGAAGCCCTAAAGAACAGCTAAAAATGTGGGAGTTCCTCTTTAACAAAGCAGATTGTGTGTGTGTGGACATTCATGTTTCAGTCTGCAACTGTATCCGTATCACCGTTTAGTGGATCGTTTGCAGCAGTTTCAGTTTTCAAATGTTTGACAAAATGAAAAGAAAACGTGTTTTTCTTGTGCAGCACGCGCATGAATATTAAAGAGCATTAGGCCTATACACAATGCGAAAAGTATACGTGTTAAACTACAACTGGAATCAAATAAAACAAAAATGGCCCTCAGAATTTCGCGAAAATCGAAAAATCAAGCAAACTATTAAACTTCTAACATAAAATATGTGAAACAACTGATTCAGTGAACTGATCAACGACGTCATTTCCGTCTTCCTGATTTTCGTATCGCATGTTGGTATTGAATTGGATTAGTAAATTTGCAGACCCAAACAATCACTAGGGCCCCAAACAAATACTAGCTAATAATAAACAAAAATAACCGAATAACATCTTCAACGTCATTTAGCCTACGGCAACTTATAAACGTTCAGAAAACGCGCGAATTTCACACAAAATACAAAAACCGACCAAACAAACGTGTGTTTGCAGACGCGAATAAACAAACGGGGCCGCAGACGCGCGAAAAAAACAAAACAAACAAACGCGCGGTGACGTCATCAGACCACAATGATACAATGTAACAAACGCGTGCGAGTCGATAACGCTGGAGAGATGAGACGAGTCCTGATGTGTACAAATCAAACGCTCGTTATGAAAGGCGAGAATCAGGGGACATCTGCGTCTCACGCGCTCACACTGAAAATCACGCCACGATCATCACAGACGTGCAGCAAAACCCCATTCAAACACACACACTCGACACGACACACACACGCGCGCGCGCGTGAACGGATCTCACCTCTTTTGTTGGGCTTCATCCTGGATGTTGGAAAATAAAACGGAATGTTTGGAAGAAAAAAAAGTTGCTCGTGTGGAAACGCGGGTCTAGCTCGTCAAACGGAGAGTGTGTTCTTCTCACACGCTCACACACACTCTCTTTCTCTCACACACACAGCTGTGTTGAGTTGAAGCTCCAGTAATCAATGAATCTGCTCATTAGTGTGTCATGAGGGAAATGATCCTGTTGACAAACATCCGTTTACCTGCAGCTCCACCAAACTCTCTCTCTCTCTCTCTGTCTCTCTCTCCCTTTCTCTCTCAATGACAGGATCTAGACCCTCCTCCCCCACACTGCAAGGGGCCAATAAGGGCCCCACATCTGTGTGTCATCACACTTTCATTCAAAACTCACAATTTACTTCAATAGCTGTGTCTTAGCAGTTCTGATTGTAGTTTCACGTAATAATTTGGCAGATGTCTTCAGTATAGTTTCTTGAAAATGTCTAATTGTGAACGGTAGACTGTTTTTTCCCCGAATCTAACCTAAACTTTTCATTAAAGATTTGTTTTTAATTTGAAAGGATGTGAATATGTGTTTATGTATTCTAACAAATAAGTTGTTTTAATCCTGTTTTGCATTGCATTATCTTCCAACACTGCAATATCTTATGCAGTATATATGTAGTGCACATATACCATCTTATTTTTTTGCATTTATTTTTAATACTTTATATTGAATGTCATTTTATTTTTTAATTAATAAAATGTAATATAAATACATTTTCTGACTTTTAAATATTAAATATTATATATTTTTCAGCTATATAATTGATTATAAAATATAAACAAAATCTACATAAACATATAATGTAATTAATATATATACATATTTAAAATAATACTTTTTATGTAATCATTTTAAGTAAAATATTTTAAAATTTTGACTAGTTGATTTCTTTTCTATTTTTTCTCCCCATTTTTGGTTAGTATTTGGTTAGTTATGTCTGCTGTAAGCAAAATTTAAATTCATTGTAATTTAGCATCTTTAATATTTAAAATTTCTATCCAATACTAGACTAGAATCCCTGTCCCCTACTCACAATACAAATGCTGTTTATATATAGAAAATGTTTATTAAAGATGTTGTGAACCAAGATAGCTTTTACACCAATATATATATATATATATATATATATATATAATGGTCTATAAGATATATATATATATATATATATATATATCTTATAGACCACATAATGGTCTATAAGATATATATATATATATATATATATATCTTATAGACCATTATGTTTCTGAATAACAAATTACTTAATAGCAAATAGTAACATTGTCTGAATTATAAGTGCTGTTGGATAAAAAAGCTATTTTCAAAAATGCATGTTTTGCAGGAAGCAGTTCAGTGTTTGTTTGTATGCAGATAAGATGTGTGTGTGTGTGTGTGTGTGCGTGTGTGTGTTTCCTCGAGGCCTGTGGCAATTCTCACTCTTTCACATGCAGGAATGTGCAGAAAACACCCGACATCATTCCCTCAAACTCTGCTCATATTTCAACTCTTGGAAATCTCCGATTGTTCCCATTTCAAACAGGAAATAATAAATACAAAAAAAAAGTAAAAAAAAAAAAAAAAAGATAATATAATAATAATAATAATATATTTTTATTATCATGTACAATATATTTCACATTTTTATTATTTCTATTAAATATATATGGATTATGAACTGCCATGAGTTGAACACCCTAATTGGATGAAGTATTTTGCCACCTTTCATATATATACAGTATGTGTGTGTGTGTGTATATGCATATGTAGATATATTTCAACTCCTGGTCAGTTCATAATCCACACTGAGAAAGAATGAAGAGTCATAAACACATTTGAACTAAACTCAGATTTACTGCATTTCTTACTAAACAAAAGACCCTGACACACACAGCCTAAACTTCATACAGCATTAGACATATTCAACAAATCCTAGTCAGTAAAATATGTGCTTGTTTCATAAAATATTGATTATCAATCTTTATAATAATAATAATCTTAAATCTTGTTGCTACAAACTCTTGCATTTAGATGATTTATTCTTTGACGACCCCCCAAAACTCTAGTAAAACACACTGAAGAGAGAGAGAGGGCGGACGATCATAACCTGTTTCACACACTTCACAGGCCTAGAAAACTGGTTATAGTGTCCGAGCAGCGTGAGCAGAGGCTGTCAATCATCAGTTCCTCTTTTGAAATGTAATCCACAAGAGCGGCGGCGGCGGCGTCCTCAGGGAAGCCCACAGATGATGATGATGAAGAAGATGAAGACAATGGGAGAAATACAGCCGTGAAAGTCAATCTCACAGCACTGAAACACACAGGCTGTCAGGGGGACCGACTCAAGACATTCAAATGATGTGATGATGCTTTCATAGAAAAATATTGATCTGAGAAATACAAATGATCATAAGATGATATCTATAGAGTGAATATTAGAATAAAAATCAGACAAATGAGTTTGTAGTGTGTTTTTGCACGTTGACGTCGGTGGATTTGTCTCTGTGCTTGAAAACATTCGTCTGTTTCTATCTGAACCACTTCAGCTTCCAACTAACATCACACACATCCGGGAACTGAACTGAACTGAACAGAAATGAACAACTGAACAGGATTGAACTGAACAGAAATGAACTGAACAGAACTGAATTGAACTGAACAGAACTGAATTGAACAGAACTGAATACAAATGAACTGAACTGAAATGAACTGAACAGAGCTTAACTGAGCTGGAAAGAACTGAACTGAACAGAACAGAACAGAAAAGAACTGAACTGAACTGAACAGAGCTGAACTAAATAGAAATGAACTGAACAGAACAAAACAGAAATTAACTGAACTGATCTGAACAGAACTGAATTGAACAGAACAGAACTGAACAACTAAACAGAGCAGAACAGAGCCGTAAAGAACTGAACTGAACAGAATTGAACTGAACAGAAATGAACTGAACAGAATTGAACTGAACAGAACAGAACACAAATGAACTGAACACAAATGAACTGAACAGAACTGAATTGAACTGAACAGAACTGAAAAGAAATGAACTGAACAGAACTGAATTGAACTGAAAAGAGCTGAACTAAACAGAAATGAACTGAACTGAACAAAACAGAAATTAACTGAACTGATCTGAACAGAACTGAATTGAACAGAACTGAACTAAAAAGAGCTGAACTGAACAGAACAGAGCAGAGCTGAACAGTAATGAACTGAACAGAGCTGAACAGAATTTAACTGAACTGAAAAGAGCTGAACTAAACAGAAATGAACTGAACAGAATTTAA